CCAGCTATGCCACGCTACAAGAGAAGTTGTTGGGACTGACGAAGGAACCTTTCGCAAACCTTTCGCCGCCCTTTCGCGAGCTTTCGCCCACAGTGCTTTTGCATCATGTGTCCCCGTGCTTATATATTTTCGGACAATCTCCATATACAGAACAACAGCGCAGCTCTGACCGCAAAATCACAAAGCCATACACCCCAGATAATAGGTGTTATCAATACAGATAATTATCGCAAAGCAAATGGAAGCTATTATACGATAATCCGGTTTATATCAGGGTTGCTGTAGGTTTGTCATGGAAAGGAAAATGGACGACTCATCTCAAGAAAACCAATTCAAGCAAGGTTCCATGCAATCCCGCCAGGAGGCTGAATGCCACCGGTCCTGCTTGGACGAAAATCCGCAGATTTAGGGGTTTACCGATTAGGGTTTAGGGTTTTAGGGAGGTGTGGGGTTTTAGGGTTTAGGGTTTTGGGCATGAGCAAACCCCAATGTAACTCCAACTGTGCCTGGAACGCTTGAAGGACTAAATGTAGAGTGGTCATGATAACTCTCACGGACCTTATATGCAGGCTGGCAAGGATGTGGTCTAATGAACTCGGTGCAAGTTTCTGTACTCCCTCTTACACAACTCCATACCCACCCATCTTCATGCCCAAGTCACGGACATGCAGTACTGAACAGCGTCTTGCGGGCCTACAAGCTGGAAGCCAACACAAACTCAGCAGGGCCTTGGTCTGCGTGGCACTTGACTCTAAACCCTAAACCGCGTTTTAGGGAACGCCAAACAAAGTTTGCTACCTCCATCCCCTATGACAGCCTCTGTGACCAGCCTAAAGGCTGGAACCTACCTGAATGCTTGGCACAAGCCAATAACAGTCCTGCTACCGGCCCTACACTGTAAACATGATGAGGGGACTACAGTAACCATATTCCTCCTATACAGTGTTATTATTACTCCTTCATAGGGTGTTTTCATTCAGCGTAGGGGTAACCAAAATCTCATCCTCAAGACTTGGGCAAGCCACAAGCTCTCTTTAACCCGTCCTCTAGGTCAATCACTGTGCTGCCGATCAGCTTCTCACCGTTTATCGTCTGCCGCGGGGGTACATGTCTTACTGACTGGGGATTATGTAACATGGCATGCGGGAATGAAAGCGAAGGGGGATCCATTAATTGCTAGCCACGGCAAGCTCACTTCAGCGTTTGAACTGAGGTCTTCAAAACGGAGGGGCGGAAGGGAAGCTTGAAGCTAAGCCAACGATCAAGCAGTCCGAGCTTCTCAGGGACGATTTTCTGAACTCCGCCCCTTAAAGCCGCAACCTCTCATTTACCAACATCTAGGAGAGGTACATGGCATGCTGTAGTATGGAATGGAGGAATGGGTAATAGTCCCTCTGCAACCCTTTGCAATAGTCACTACAACTCCTATAACCTACCCGTCCTTCCCTGCCAACCACTAGTAGGCACAGAGACAACAATCCTGATCCAACAGCACGCTGATGCAGCCTGCTGCCAATCTTAGAAGCATGGGCC